TGGTATCAGTGTTTTACTCCAATCTTTATTTTTCTGACAGCTTTTAGCTTTCACTCCTTAAATTAAAATAAAAAATATATAAAGGTGTCTAAGTGGCTTGGATAGGAAACAAAGGAAGGAAGCAGCGACATTTAGTATACATTAAACACACACTTGAATACAGTCAAGGTATGTGTGTGTTTTTACAAAGAGACGTACAATTTTTTAGAAGAGAAATGACAGGAATAATCCGACTCAAAAGCCTTTTCTCTTTGACTGTCTGATGATTGTATCTTGTCTTCAGGAAGTGTCCCTGATTGGCAGGCCGCCTCTTTATGAAATAACTGAGACTCTGCGCTGCAACAACAGTTGTGCAATAAGTCAGAGAGGGAAGCGAAAAGGGAAGCGGCTTCAGGGGCTTGTGGCACCTGATTACCCCCCCCCCACACACACACACACACATTTTCCCCTTTACATGCACACACACGCACTCTAACTCAGCAGGGGTTGGGCAACTTTAACGATGTCAGCTAATCTGTGGCAATGAGACACAGGATTTTATGCCTTTTTAATTGGCTTTTATTGCACATTTTTTACTTTAATGTTAATGTAAATAGTTGTATTCTTTTTGATCTGTTATTAGACATCTATTTTATTTTATATTCATATTTTTTTCTTTTATTCCACATGCTTTAAATTCGTTTTTTAACTAGTTTTATTTGTTATATTTATTTTATTGGACACTTAAACTTTAATTTCTCATGTAATATTAATATTTTGTATACCATTTTTTTATTTATAGTATTCCTAAATAAAGCAATAAAGAATTCTGGTTGATGTTTGCTGTTATAAGTTAGTATGTTCCTATTGCATTTATTAAGTCACTTTGGATAAATGCATCTGCTAAATGAGAGGTGTCAATAACAACTTGATCATTGGCATTCGAATTCAACCTTTTTAAAAGTACTTTTAGTTCATTTCAAGATTGAAGTCCCCTCTCTTTCGCCCCTGCAGTATATTCCACACGGGGCCCCTCACTAGAGTGCAGTTTTCTCTCCACAAAGAACTATAATTTAGATTAAACGTGACAAGAGTTACAGCTGATGTCAAGTGTGTGTGTGTGTGTGTGTCCCTTCTACCCCGACTTTCCAAACTAACAAGTCGACCCGCCTGCGATCAAAGGGGCCCCAGGATTTACCGCTTTAATTTGGCAGTGAAAATGGCTGATGGCGGCTGTTAGCAGTGGAGGGCCCCCCTGTTAGCACTTAGCGAGCTAACTGGAGTGACGGGCATCTGGCTGGGTGGCTGCCTGGCTCTTTGGACCCCTGTTCCTCCCACTTTTGCCCCACAGTGACCCCACACAACTCCTTTCTCCTTGAAGCAGACACCATGCAGGCATTTCCTGACGATTTATGTCCCTGTGCCACAAGCTGGGGCATGCCCTGCACTAAAAACCCACCGCGGGCCCTTATAGCACACGCGCCCGGCCCCCCACCATTCTGAATATAGTGTTGCACACTCGTGTTAATCATGATTAATCACCATTATTAACTTGTATTGTGGGAGGAGATACAACAAGTACACATGTGGTGTTGTTATTAAGACATGCATACTTTCTCTTATGTACATTGCCTTCTGTATCTATCTATCTATCTCTCTATCTCTCTATCTATCCATCCATCCATCCATCCATCTATCCATCTATCCATCTATCCATCTTCCATCACCCTCCATCCATCTATCCATCTATCCATCTATCCATCTATCCATCTATCCATCTATCCATCTATCCATCTATCCATCTATCCATCCATCACAAACTGGTGTGAGAAATCAGAGGGTTTTTTACTTTATTATAGCATGATTTCAAGATTCAAGGCTTTACTGTCATGTGCTCAGCAGCTACAGTGTAGATATGGTTATGAAACACTGAAGTCACAGGCTCCTCCAACAGTGCAACATGAATATATATAGGACATAAAACAAATTAAACAGATACAATAGTACAAGACAATGTAATGCAAGAACATTTCTGATTATTGGCATGAAATCCTGTGTATAATGGGTGCTATACAGGACAGGTGCTCGTATGGCAGTATCATACTGAGATTCCCCTCTGTATAATGTGATACACATGGAATATGATCTGTCTTGCTGTCATACTAAGAAACTGGTTAGTGCATGCTTCATCAAAATGCCTTTCCTCTGTTTTCACCACACCTAAAGAATAACTAATTAACACGTTATCGTTTCCAGATGAACAAGTTTTCGTTTCCACGCGTTAACGTTGACATCCCTAGATTATATAACTCTTGTTTTAGTAGTAAATGTGTCTTAGTCGGTCTATTTTTGTATCTATATACAGTATGTATCTATGGATACTTGTAAACAAAACAATTTCCCAATATGGGATCAATAAAGTATATATAATCTAATCTAATTGCACACAGTTGTGGAATGTAACTGTATTTACAGTAAATACAATTGTGTAGTACTTCACTTGAGAATTTTTACTTTATTATACTTTATTATTTTGACTCTACTACATTTCAACAATTTCCCAATTTGGGATCAATAAAGTACTATCTATCTATCTATCTATTTTGCAGGTAAATGTTGTACTCTTTACTGTAATCTGGCTACTTTAATTAAAGTAAACATCTGAATAAGCTACTTCTTTCACCCTTGGCGAGATGTCTGGGGAGCTATTCTGTAGTAATGTAAAGTATTCACATGCTGCTGTAAATGGGCTAACAACTCAATATGAGCCTTTTGATAGAAGGGGTTGCACGATTTTGCCCCTGCAAGTGCAACCAACGAGCCTAAATCAATATGTTAGAAAGACTCCAATGCACTCAAGCAGAGCCACCACAGCAAAGTAGAAAAATACTAATCACATTTTCTACAACAACGTTAAACCAGGGGGTTAAAGCAGCAGCAGAGGGACGCTGTGATTAATGCAAATGAGGGACATCAGTGTGAGCGTTGGGGGACTCTGTCTACATCTCCTCTGCATGTCTTACTCTCCAAAGGTTAAGTGGCTGCTTTTGCCGGCTAATTCGGCCATATGCTCATCTGTGCATTTGACACTGGCGCGCAGCAAATTATGCCTTGTGAATATGCAGCCAATTTAAAAAAAGAAAAAGAAAAGAAAAAGGACATCATCGCTCACTAGCTCTTGTCTTTTGAGTTTCAAGTTAAATGGAAATGAATCTTGTGATAGCACTGGTTTTAAAAGGTTGCATTGCGGTGGCCTATGATCCAGTCACGCTGAATTCTACAGCCTTTTGCATAACTTGTTGCATAAGCACTGGCAGGCACACTGTGTCATGTACGGTCCGTGTCATTTCTGCTTTTGGTCGGGCTTATTACAGTACAGGCTGTTCCCTAATGTCACAGCGGTTGCAAAACCACACAAGCCATCGTTCCCCGTCTCTTTTCTTTTTTTTTGTCATCTAAGAACTGGCTTCCTGTTTTCATTGTGTTCTTTCTCTCTGCGGAGGTGTCGTAACCCAGGAGAACGTGCCAAGAACAAACCGAGGTCTGGTGGGGAGAATGTGGAAACTGACACACACACATGCACGCATCTCTTTTGCACACACACACACACACACACATATCCAGATGTTAAAATGTGTGTGTGCGTGCTGTGTGATGTGTATGGCATGTACAGTACTCGATGCCAAGCCATAAAAAGCCGTTTGCCTGGGCCTGATCTGATATGCCCTTCCATGGCAGAGTGAGAGCACGCCAGGTTCCTGTCTCTCTTTTTTTTGTTGTACACTCGTGTACACACTCATAAAGTATAGGTTAACATGGCATAGCTCAAGGGAGGGACATACGAGTAGCAAAGTGTGGCGCAAGAACATTTGACTGAACCATTACTTGGCTATGAATCAGGAGATGCAATGGATACGCCTAGCATAGTATAGGGATTCTTATGAGGTATTTATTTAAGTGCATGCCAGGCTTTTATTGTTCTAAAGTGTAACAGTAAAGTTAAGGTTAACATGGCAATCCAGGTCATAGCTCAAAGGCTACATGCAAGAAGCAAAACGTGGTGCAAGAGAAGTGTTTAAAAGGTTTAGATGAGAAGCAGAAAAGTTTGGGCCTTTCACGATAAAGGGATTGTTTGAAGTGGAGTTATATGAGGTCAAAAGTCACTGTAATATCTAATTTGATGAAGCCGATTTAACCCTTTAAACCACTTCAATTACACATTAATGCTAAATAACCAATTGAGTTAGGAATGGACAACCAGCATCAGTGAGAAAGGTCAAATTAGTGGAGTCTGGTGGCTTTCATAATGGCTTCAGTTTCACAATTAAAAAACAGTTTGACTGCAAAGTAACCTAAACTCATACTGGTTTTATTAGGAGGGCCTTTTTTAAGAGGTGTTACATTTTTTTGCTGCATAAATATATCTTCCTTTCATATTAAAGGGGCTAGTTCAGTGTTTTTAAGGCGGGGTGGTCTGACCACGGTCTGTACTTTGGAGAAGATGATTCAACCCTTTAAAACACTAACATTAGACCATAATGCAATGTGATTGACTTGTTTTTGTCAATGAAGTCTGGTGGCTTTAACACGTTTAGATAAAGGCAGCAGCAGCACTGTAAACCAATAAAACATTCTCACTATAACACCGACTGAAACTCATACTGTGTTTACTACTAACTACATACTGTGAGTCCCTTATCTGTATGTCTTGCCTGTACTAAAAGAATAAAAAATATCAAATCTTAAGCCTTCAGATTACACAGTATCATACTGCCAATCAAAAGCATTTCCAACATCACAGTCCATCTATTTCCTAAAAGAAAAGTACTCTATACGCACTTGAGACATGGTACTTTACAAATGGGACATTTAGATACGAAGTTGCATTTAAATAATATGTATGTTGTCTCCGCCTTAACTTTAATATGCAATCTTTATCTCCCTTTCGCACAGTTTGTCCCCAACATTTGTGTGAATATGTGCTAAACATCCATGCTTTTGTCTCCTTTTTCGTTGTGCAGCTGGTGAGAAGGCCATAGTCTGTGACCAGTGTGGAGCCCAGTTCCAGACGGAGGAATCTCTGGAGTCTCATCGGAAGATACACACCGGTAGGAACTCACACACACACACACCACAAACACAAGCATATCACGTCCTTCTGCTTTATCGACATGTTTGCAATGGATGGTTTGTCCCGAACGCGTCCAATTTGTGGGAAAAGGTCTTAAGGAAGAATCAGATCACATTCAAACAGAGACACATTTGCATCACATGGCATCACCAGGTCCCGTTCACACTCCCAATCTGTTTGTGTTTTTCCACAAATCAGTCTCTGTGTGTGTGTGTGTGTGTGTGTGTGTGTGTGTGTGTGTGTGTGTGTGTGTGTGTGTGTGTGTGTGTGTGTGTGTGTGTGTGTGTGTGTGTGTGTGTGTGTGTGTGTGTGTGTGTGTGTGTGTATGTGTGTGTGTGTGTGTGTGTGTGTGTGTGTGTGTAGTGGGCTGTGTGTGTGTGTGTGTGTGTGTGTGTGTGTGTGGTGTGTGTGTGTGTGTGTGTGTGTGTGTGTGTGTGTGTGTGTGTGTGTGTGTGTGTGTGTGTGTGTGTGTGTGTGTGTGTGTGTGTGGATTGACAGATAGCTAGATCACATCATCTCAGATTAGTCCCCCCTCGCCCTAAATCAAAACAGACCAAACAGTAATCAACAAACTGGGGGATCTTGGCAGGCCGGAGTTGTTTATCAGTGCTCACGATGAAGATTTTGGAAGATGAGTGCGATGTAGGTGCCAAGATGTAAATAGGAAGAAAGTAAATCCCCCTGAAGCAGATGTGCGATGACCCAGAACAGCTTCAAGACGGGTGATGAACTCTTTAATTTGGGGGAAGGATTGACTCAATTTCCATCATCGTTGGGAACTTGATTTGTTTGTGATGAAGGTATGTGCCGGAGTGTTTGGGAGTCCCTTTGTTTCTCTTTGTTGCTGTGAATACTGTGAAAAATAGATTTTATTGTGTTTTATTTGGCTTTTTAGAAGAGATTAGGGTAACCGCAGTGCTAATAGATCATCCTAAAATAGTACTTAAGTAAAAGTACTAATACCACACTGTAAAATTACTCTGGTTTAATAGTTCTGCATTGAAAATGTTCTTTAAGTGAAATTAAGCAGATATAAAAAGCTACATTAAAGTATTAAAAGTACCCAATGCAAATAAAAGTTTGAAATACATTTGGACAATTATTGACATTTTTACACTACAAAATAATTGTCTTGGCTAAATGATTCTTGTATAAACAGTTGGCTAATTAAATGTATCATCAGATGTTATATTTATAAACTACTATTACCAACTAAACTACTAACTACCGAGTGTTCATTGAATGCCAATTAAAGCCAGATCCCCAAATTGGCCCCCATCATCATTATCATCATCTTATTGTTTTGTCCTTGATCTGAAGCCGTGACCCTCACACTCCCATTGCGTGGATCCACTGTTTATTTGCATCCATTCATACCCCCCTCCCCCTATTCCTCCTTAACATTTAAGAGGGGAAGGTGCAGGATATGGGGGGTTACTCCTGCAGGGCATGCCCTCAACCAATCAGATCCATGGAGGTAAAGGAGGGTTAAACGAGGCTAATGATCCGAGAGCCATAACAGCGGAAAGCAGCGCTCTAAATATAGAAATTCCAGCCTGGAACGAATGGGGGGGGGGGGGGCTCGGGCGTAAATGCAGCAGCCGGGGCCAGACATGTTTTCCTGCCAGACATAAGCAGTCATGTTATAGTAATCATGTGTTGAGCCCCTCTCAGGGATCAGGGTCTGCGGAAAAAATTAGCTCGAGGTAAAATATGACAAGGCAGATCTATAGAACTAGGGTTACTATAATAACCTTGGTTCCCAGTTGAACTTTCTCTGTGCACTTTACACTACTTCATTTTTAAGCTTTACCACTTTACTTTCCCCAGGTTAACAACATATTACTATTTGGTCTTAAAGAAATTGGCTCGAGGTAAAATATGACAAGGCAGATCTATAGAACTAGGGTTACTGTAATAACCTTCCTGCGTCATATGGTTCCCAGTTGAACTTTCTCTGTGCACTTTACACTACTTTAAGTGGTTAATGTTTAAGCTTTACCACTTAAATTTCCCCAGGTTAACAACATATTACTATTCAGTATGAACAAATTGGCTCTGGTAAAATATCCCAAGGCAGATCTGTAGAACTAAGGTTACAATAAGTAACCTCCGTTTCTCATCCTAACCATTAACTTTTCTTTGTGAGGCCCTCTTGGACTTTCTTCTATGTAGTCGCATTACATACTGCTTAACTACTAGCCAAACAACTTTTACATATACTATGAATATTCATGGTCTTTGAGGATAAGTCAAATAATGTAAGTTACTGAACACATTCATGCTCCCCAGAGGATGAACACTTTGGTGTTATAGTTGCTACTCATCTGGCGCCACCATAATGCATTTTTTTTACCCTAGGAATCCCGCATTTCTTTAGTCATACATGTTTATTTCTTCAATACGCATATCTTTTTCATCCATCATAAAGTTTAAATAGGCATATATCAGCAGAACAAACAACAACAACAGCTCCTCTGGACAGTTCAGTGTTGAATCAGTTTGAGCTGGAAAAGCTTAACAAACATGGATTTATTTATACAGAAATGTCTGTGTGTACAGTACCGAGACGCACAACATCAGAGGGGGGGGGGTGGGGGGGTGTGTGGTGTGAGCATGGGGTTACTGTTGGCCATCAGATCTGATCTCTGCCTCTTGGCAGCGCTTCAGCCGTTGGCTAATGTTCTCTGATGACAATATTTGGCCTCCGAAACTGAGGCTGTTTCTTGTCGCTCTGAATGGGAACTATTGTGGCGTGTCCTGTGTCAGCTGCAGTGTGATTCAAACCCTCTTTCTCACTTTGCACCACTTTTTTTTCTTCTTGAGTTGCCTTTTGGATATGTCACATGCAATGGTGGGAGAATCCACATGTTTTAATACAGCATTCAGTGTCTATTCTACTGCACAGCATTTCATTTGGTTGTATTCTTTGTATAGGTTTTTTTTTTTTTGTCCTTCAACTTGCTAGCAACATTTTTTCTTTTGCACTATTTTTCATTGGACATTTTTATTTCTTTGCCGTTTAAGTATATCAAATATTGCATTGTTGGAAGACACTTCAGATTTTCCTTGCCATAATTGCGCTGTAGATATTGTGCATTAGACAAATAAAGCCTTTGAATCTTTGTAGTACTTAAGTTAAAGTATCCATACTAAATTGTAAATATGTCGTACACAAGTTGCATTTAAATATCTTACACAAGTAAAAGTATAAAAGCCTAATTGTATTAACTTGATATACTGCTGTAAAGTAACTAAAGCTCTCATATAAATGTAGTAAAAATACAAGTACCTAAAGATTGTACTCCCCTAGATACTTTCCACCCTAAAACACACATTTCTTAACCGTCTTCGTTACAGTTGGTGTTTATTGGAGCAGAAGGGAATAGTTTAAAGGTCAATAAGGGGGCGGGGGGGGGGGGGGGGGGGGGGCCGACTGGTAGGATGCCAACGGTAACTATCGGCAAAACATCATGTGGCTGTTTTTACCTACTGAACACAAACACACTGAAAACCTTCCCCTTCTTTGGCAACACACACACACACACACACACACACACACACACACACACACACACACACACACACACACACACACACACACACACACACACACACACACCACACACACACACACACACACACACACACACACACACACACACACCACACACACACACACACCCCCCCCCCCCAATAGATCCAGGAATGCCTGTGGTCAGGAGCCAGAGCCACTTGTGAGTCGCATTACATCTACAGACAGCTAATTCTTTGTCACATATTTCCCTAAATTGGATGGCATCGCTTCAGTCTTTCAATTCCTGCAACCTGGGACTCGCAGTGTGTTGGTCTTTCATTGAGCTTTTATCTTTGAATTAAAAACACTGCTGTCATTTAGATGTGTAGTTCATGTACTTCTACCTTGGGTCCTTTTTTTAATTGTCATGCAGTGTATGCTTCCAGTCTTAAAGTAGCTTTGCTTATATAAGGAAGATTTCTTCGTGGACACTTCAGTTTCATCATGTAGTGATTGGCAGGAAGCAGAGCGTAATGTGATGTGCATACTGAGATGAGAACGCTCCAAACTGCACTTTAGAATAAAGTTTAAATAGCAGTCAATGTCATCCTTTAAAATGGAGAAGAACACACCCTAATAGTTGTGTTTCTGATAAGGCAGATATATTGATTTATCACTGTTATGTATGTGTCATGGCCCCGGATGGTTATCTTAGTTTATCCAGAATGTATCTAATTTGTTACAGGACGAATGTTTAAAATATAATACTGAGGTTTGGTAGTGAAACCTCTTACTGTAGCTACTTTATAGAGTAGAGAAACAACATCAAATGTCATCAAATAACAACGTTTGCAAGTGTGCTCAGACCCTTTTTTCTCTTAGTCGCATTATTTCAAAACCGGAGTCTTTTTATGGAGGTTTTTCCAACGTGAATTTGTGCATCACATGTAGCAGTTTAATTTGTAATATTGAGTTTGAATTTGTGGGCCAGAAAAATAAGATTGATCTGGAAATAGGGGGCTGCAAAAGTGAGTTTTAAACCGGGCAATGAGTCGGCATTTAAGAACTTCCTGTTCCCTCTTTTCAGTCAACGCGATCCCATTGGATTTTTGTGTAGGGAATAATAGAGATGCACCACTCGATTGAGTTTGTATTCCATTGTTCAGTCAGGAGCAGTAAGATTAAAGCAGCTGTTTATTGTATATATTCATCTTGGGAAATGTGGTTAAGTTACTCAAACAGAAGTCAATGTTCCTGTTAAAAAATAAGTGAATGTACATTACCACTCTACACATGTCCTCCTTGTGATATCTGTTTGTCCCACACTGTGATTGGAAACATGCTTTCTTTAAATCAGTCTCTTCCAACGTGTCGTTTCCATTTCCTGCAGCCTCTCACTGTCGAACATTTCTGAGCTGCAGACTCTGTAAAGCTATCTTCATCTCTCTTTTTCATTAGAT